TGCCCAGTTGCATCGCCACCCCATCTGCATCGCTAACCCTGATCACATCGCCAGCCCCGGTCGTGTCACCAGCCCCAGTCGCGTCGTCGCCCCAGCCACGTGGCCAGCCCCAGTCGCGTCGCCGAGCCCAGCTGCGTCACCAACCCGAGCACATGGCTCTTCCCGAAGCCCCGGCTCCTGGGGTGCCGCCGGGCAGCGAGCACCTCGGTTTTCGGTTACGGCTGGCTTTACTACCCCGCTGCGCAAGGACAAGGCAGGCTCAGCGCTCAGAAGCAAAGTACGTTTATTATTTCGTAAATCTGCTGATTTCGAGTCGGTCTTGCCCGAGGAGCCTAGCTCGCTGCCTGCGCGCCGGCGGCTGGCAGAGGTGCGCTTGTTAGCCGTACCTGCCGTGCCACCCCCGTGCCACCTCCGTGACCACCCCGGTAAGTCAGAGCCCGCGCTCCTTACACGAGGGAGCAGAGGCTACGGCACCGCGGGCTCCACAGCCTCTAAAGTGCCTACACGCGGCTTGCCAGCGACGAGGGCTTGTGCGTACGCCGTAATTGGCAAGTGTGATGTTAATGAGCTGGCAGCGCGGTTAATTATCCACCCGCTAGTGGGAAGTCACAAGCCTCTGAAGTATAATTAATCGCTGTTCCCGAAAGAAAAAAAACAATCAGCGTGGAAGTGGGTGCCAGCCCATCCACCCGAGCTGTTGGTCTCGCTCCTTTTACTTCCATCCTCAGCTCCAAGTCCTGCGTGGCAGCTTGTGGTGGCTACCAGCATGGAGGGAAGCTGGCCCTCACACCTTTCAGTTCTTTTTGGGCTCCTTAAGGACTTTGCGCCCGGATAGGATCTTCCCACCCTTCCCGGCCTCTAGGCTGGGTCTCACCTGCTCCTGTGGGGTCCCCAGCAGGATTTCGTTGATGGAACTGAGCGTCAGGTTGCTGAAGACCATGTTGAGGTGGTCGACGCCTCGCAGCTCCTGGACATGCACCTTCTGCTTTTGCTGGTCACGCCATCGCTTGCACAACTCCAAACTGCGTCTGTTGACGGTGTCGTCCCCGTCGCCATAAATCATGTCCACAGGGTCCTCGTAAGGGAAACGCTCATCATATATGTAAGTCTCCACGGTGGGGTAGCCTGTGCCGTAGAGGCAATACATGTCCACCCCAGGTGGAGGTAGGCCCTTCAGCAAGTCCTTCATGTCCTCCCACATGTACCAGCCATCCTCCAAGTTGACATCGGTGAAGAAGCGTTGGTAGTCCCGGTAGGTGTAATTGTAAGAAGGCGTGGAGATGAAGATGTGGGTCTCGGGCCAGGCCAGGCTTGTTGGAAACATCCAGGGGCTAGTGGTGGTCATGCGCTGCTCTTCGCGCAGCTTGATGTTGGACATGAGCGGGATGCCCTGATTGTCACCTGCAGGACACACAGGGGCTCATCAGAAGTAGCACCGAAACGCACCCTCGCAAACGGTGCCCCTTGGGCTGGGGTCACAGCTGCCTCCTGGCTGGGGTACGGTTCCACCTCAGATCCTCCCCTGCTCACCCCTGCCCTGCCCGTGGCCGTATGTCCTCTCCTCACCCCTCTGGCTGCAGATATCCAGCGCAACCTTCCAAACTCTTCTCTCCGGCATAACATCTCTAGCTGCTTGGAGGGGCTGAGTGTAGACAAACCTGGCCCTGAGCAACCCAGCCTTGGACTTTCCCTGCAACCCCGGCACCTCCACGCCTGCCTGCAGGGACAGGAAGGAGCTGAGCCCCATGAGGGTGCTCGTAACGGGTGGCCAACGCACATGCCTCCTGCAAGTCTCGGCATTTTTGGTGTGTCTGGAGTCCGAAGACCATGCAACGATCTCAGATTACCTTAAAAACGTCTCTGGCCCTTGTGGCAACAGAGAAAAATATGAGGAGATGACTTAAGGGTGATGCAAGGGGCCAGATGTTAAAATCTTCAAGCACATGATTTTAATTCCATGCATTTTTGGAGGCTCAGCTTGTGACTTGTAGATATTCTGGGCTGTCAGCATTAGGCAAGTGATTGTGGCTTTCTGGGCTGAAAAGAGACTAAAGAGGAACTGGGTGAGGGGAGATTAAAGCCTGGAGACAGCAAAGCTTATGGGGGATGGGCTTTGAGATGTGGGGACATCCAAGCAAGAGGTGCAGGAGAGCGTGAGCGTCCCTTGGGTGGCCTCCGCGTCCTCCGCTGCAGAAGGTCTCTACGGCTTGGAGTGAAGGTCCACCAGCCTGGGTGGATGGAGGTGGCACAGATGTCTTGGGGAGGCAGTGAGAAGGGGGGGTGAGCACGCCCCAAACTGCTTCCCTGGCCCCGAGATTTTTGGCTGAGCCCTTTTCTTGCCCAGGATGGGTGTTCCGGCTTTCAAGGAGCACCCCTAGCCCGGGAGTCGGGCCAGGGCATGGTGCAGGCTGTGCTGCCGGCTCTTTGGCTTTCCGCACCGCGGGACGCAGCGGCATCAGCACCAGAGCACGGGTGCTGCCTCCGCGGACCCCTCGGACGTCTGTCCTCCACCTCTTCTACCACCGTGTCCTTTCCCTGCCCACCACCACCCTTCCATTTCTGCAGGAGGGAGAGCAAGCAAAGAGGTGGATGCGCACGAGGAGTCACCCACCAGATGCCAGGACACGCAGGGGCTTGACGGACCCTCCCCAGGGCGCGCCCAGGGAGATGAAACCCCCAATGTACTGATCTTTCCAGGCTTGCGTCTGCTGTAGCAAGAAGTAGAGGATGTTGAGGTTGCCCATGCTGTGCGCGATGAGGAAGACGCGTCGCTGGTACTCATCGTGCATCTCCTCGATCAGTGCCTTCAGGTTCTGGAAGTATTCGGGCTGCTCCTCTGCGGACAAGAAGGTCAACCAGCCCTTGGCCACCTCCTCACTCGTGGCCACAGGGCTCCAGGGATGACCCTATGAGCCCTGACCAGAGAGAGGTGTGGGCACAGAGGCCACAAGTGCCACCATGCATTCACATGAAAGCACCATGAGTGGTCAAGCGCCCACCACCACGGGCAGCCGTCCTTGTCCAGGGGTTCCTCCACACCAGCTGGCTCACCCGGCCCGTGAGAGCCATCCTGCTTCCCTCCCTGCACCAGTGGCCTGGCCGCAACCCCCATACTTACGAGGCCCGACCCTCCAGTCGTAGGGGGCTGCCCGAACCGTCTGGTCCCTCACGTAGCCGTTGTTCACCAGGTTCTGCACCAGGGTGTGCAGGTAACCTACGGGGCAGAAAGAAGAGGTGGGACTTAGGTCGGTGGTCTTCTCCTGTCCATCTTTTTCCACCCTGGTCCTCGTCACTGGCCACAACGTCTTCTGGTAAGCCCTGTAGCTTGGTGTCCCCACGGGGACACCTCTCCACTTCCAGGGAGCACGTGGGATACCCCGGACACCCCACACCTCTCCTCCTCTCACCTGCCAGCTTGCTCTGGTCCAGGTATTCCACGGAATAGGTCTTGCCGAAGCCAGGCACACGGATGTGCACCCCGGGGGCATTGGACATTTTCCGAGAGGTTCGGTTGTACACCACCCTGCGGGGACAGGACAGAAAGTAGCAGAGGAGCCGTGTCCCCAAGGGATGGGGTGGAGATCACTGGCTGGAAGCCTGGACCTTGGTGGCTCTTTCCAAGGCATATGTGGACGGGGAGGTGGACGGGTGCCAAGCCAGCATCCATCCCGACTGCCCGGCATCTCGAAGCAGGAGGATCCCTGATGGAGTGGGATGCAAGCAGTCGCCTCGTCCTGCTGCCCGGGGCAGGGTGGCAGCATCTCCGATGGGTTCGGGGGACGGTCTGGCTGGCATGAGCAAGTGGCAGGGACACGGGAAAGGGACACGGGCGCTGGGAGCGGGAGCCAGCCAGCTGTGTTCCCAAACGGTCCCGTGGTTTCCCATGTGTGCTAGGTCGCGGCCGGGAGGGAGGAGAAGGGAGGGAGATCCCTGGTAGGTCATTTCCCCGGGGAGCTCCCGGGGTGGAAGTGAGCGGTACCTGGTGTTATCGATCCAGCAGTCAACTCCCACTGGCAGGAAGGTGTTGAGGTTGAGCCAGATGGTGAAATAGTCCTCTGTTTTGCGGTAGCACATCCAGTTCACCACGTCCGGCTTGTCCAGCTTGG